TTTTATAAATTCCAGATATAAGTCCCTTATCTGACATGTCATTACCAAATATTTTTTCCCAGTCTGTGGCTTCCCTTTTTACTCTATTGGAGAAGTTTTTGGATGTGCATAACCCTGTCTTTTTGGCAGGTCATGTGGCCGTATCTGACCATCTACAAAGCTTATTATACATGGTGGGAAAGAGAGAGGCTTAACCAGGTGGAGGATGGGACTGAGGCAGGGAGCCGGGGGCCTTGTCCTCTGGAGAAATCAATGATGGGCTGCCCTGAGGATGACAACAGAGATGCCACACAATGCTCTCCACGATGGTATGAAAGAGTGAAATCCACATTCCGGTAAAACAAGAGGAGGCTGGCCCCTGGATTTCCAACATCAAAGTGCCAGGGAAAACTGGGAAGAATGGCCAGCAGAGGGAAACTGTCATTTTTCAGCTCGACACTTGACAATACTGATATTTTCGTTTGCCAATAATCACGAATGTTTGAAGGTAGAAAATTCGGTTTTTGCAAAAGAAATAATGGCAGCATCAAGGACACAAATGGTGTCAAATGTCATTCATTCTCCCTCTCTCATTGCCTAACCAGCCCTCCATCACAACTGGTGGGATGACGACGGACGTAAGATGATGGCACAAAATACAACTGGGCTGGTGGGTCTATGAGCCCTGGAAGCGGGCCTCCAAGTCACGGCAGCGACCTAGGGAAAACTCCCTGGATGGCTCTGGGGACATGGTCACTGACAGGACACAGGTGAGCAGCTCTGGACCGCGAGGAGATCATTCAGTGAGGGAAAAGCCACCACCTGTCACCCTTCATTGGAACCCCATACCCCGACCCAGGACTGCACACTGAGGGGTCTGAGCCCCAGGACCAGCCTGGTCTTCAGGTAGACCCTCAAGGTTCCCTAACACTCCTCACCCAAGACCACTTGGGTGCCCAGGAGACAGAGGACACTCTACAAAATATCCAGGCCATTTCTAAGTGTGTCTTTAATATGTAGGGAAGTCTGAAGATGTGCATGTGATTTTTTTAAAGTGCAACAAAAGGCTCTCTCTGTTTCTCCTGTCACCGAATTAAGAGCTCACGTGCAAGAAGGGAACGGGAGTGTTTTCAGTTGGGCAGCTCCAACTGTTTCAGAACGAGGGCAGATTTACTTAACAATGAAAGGCTTCTAGAGCCTTCTATGAGTCAGGGCCTTATTGTATTCCAGTGTGTGTGACACTCAGCTTAAAAGCCCCAACTCTCCAAATCCCAGCCCCTCACATGACCCACAGTGTTCAGGAGCCCCAGGGCCCAACAGAGCCTGGCACATGCAGATGCTCCGCTGACAATTACTGAACAAATGGACTCCTACCCACTACTCCCTGCTGCTTTCCACCTGCTATATAAATCTGTCACTCTTTCACTTCCTCTGCCTCTAAGGAAGCCTGTGTTTTCAAGCCTGTCCTGGGCCGTTTATGGAGGGCGTCGGTGGCCTTTCCAACAAGCCCACAGACTGGCACCACTGTGACCGCTGTGGCCACTGTGACGGAGGTGGGTCGGCTGAACTCACAGCTGTGAGCTGCCATTTTTGGGCTCTTCCCACCACCCTCCAGGGGCCAACCATTCCACCAGCACAGCAGGCCCTCAAGGGGCAATCCAAGAGGCTTTTCGGAGGGTGCAATGTGCCCAAAAGGACACAGTGACAAGAGCCTCCAGATCTGCACGAGCCCAGTGGTTACCTTGGGGGTCGACCTCCTTGGCCAGCTTGAGGGCGTCCGAGTTCGCCAGGTCCATGTTAGCTGGGGTGACGGCGAGGATCAGACTGCTCTCCCGGCTGATAAACTGCAGGATCATGTCCTTGATCTGGTACTCAATGTCCGGGGGTTGGTCCCCCACGGGCACCTTGGTGATGCCCGGAAGGTCAATGAGGGTGAGGTTAAGCACTGGAAGGGAGATGAGTGGGGAAGATGGTCAGAGGCTGGGGGCACTGGCGTCTACACCACCCTGGGACGGCCCTCCACGACCCCTGGGCTGTGGGGGCCTCAATGGAGGATCTCTCCTGCCCTTCCACCTGCACTGCGCCCTGAGGCTCTCCAGCTACATCCCTGCATGAGCTGTGTTCTGTTTAAAAGGTAGCAAGTTTTGTTGCTTTGTTGTGGTGTACCGTGGAATCGGATCCGACTGGCACAGGGGCTGCTTGCCCCTCCTCCAGCAGAGCATCTGGTGGATTTAAACTGTGTGCCTTCAGGATGGCAACGCAGCTTCTTGCCACTAGGCCAACTGAGCTCCCTGGTACCAAGTTCTGGAACCAAGACATTCCTCTTTGCAGACTGGAATCAATCTAAATGCTTAAATGAATTCCAGTCCACTTGTTCAGCCTATCCCAAAGCAACATTGAAAACAAATGACCTCCACTTACTGGTAACAAATGCTGAGGTACATTCACACATATTTTTTAAATTTTTATTTTATTTTATTTTATTATTTTTGTGTGAGTGTACCGTCAAAGCAGATCTGACTGGTACAGGAGGAGATTGTCCCTCCTTCCCCGGCAGAGCATCTGGTGGATTCGAACCGTGCACCTCTGGGATTGTAGTTGCAGCTCCTTGCCACTAGGCCACCAGAGCTCCCCTACATTCACACATTTTTATAGAATGCTACAATCTGAGTCAAAACGACACATAAATACAGAATGTGTAGACAGTCAAGACTGCCAGATATACACAATACTTCACTTGAAAAATATGAAATACATCTGTAATGTTGAGGGTAGGAAGTGTGTGTAGCCTGTCATTTTTTCATTTGAGCCATCTGCAGACATTATTTACACACACAGAGCTTAGGCGCTGGCAGTCTATCTGTGCCTTTGTGCCCTGGCCACGAGCTATTCCATTTCCGTCAGGCACCGTGGAAGATGAGGACACTTTGCACATAAGTCTGGCTTTCTGGCTGCTGCTGCTGCGATGCTGAGACCTGGCTGCCTTGGGCCTGTGTCACTACGTGGCCCCCACTGGAGTATAAACGTGCTTCTTTCACAAGAGGGCAATCTCCACCGTCCCTACCATTCCCAATAACCTCCCGGCGCTGCTGTGTTCCTCTGAAAGCAGAGACCTAGCTCTCTTACCTCACAAATAACTAAAGCGGGAAGATGCAGCACAAGCGCTGTGTGATGACCACGAGAAGGACCATATTCTCTGAACATGCGGCAGATCCCACTCTGAGCCGCACACAATCAGCTTCCACCCAGTTGGCCCAGGTTCAGGGCCGAGCCCTAGTGCCTACCATGGGGCGAGTAGATCCGCAGGTTGATGGGCACTGGGGAGATGCCTTTGTTGGTCCCCGTGACCCTGTCGGTCTCCGCTTCGATCTCCTGCCGGACTTCATCGAAGTCTGTAAACTTTCTGGACTTGCAGTGCAGAAACTCGGCGTACTCTGAAAAGACAAGGAAGGGGCTCAGTCGGACAAACGCACTCTTTGTGGGAGGGGCAGGGGCTGGGTCCAGCGGAGAGTGAAAGGTCAGCGCGGTCACTCTAAGAATCTGGAGGACAATGCGGCCCTTCACTTGACAAGTGTCTGAGAGGCACTCCTACAGCCCCAACACATTCCAGAGTTCACAGGGACAGAACTGGTCAAGCGCCAGGCCCAAGGAGCTGACCCCCCAGCGCAGGAATCTGCTCGCTGCGCACCGGGACATAGCAAAGAAACAAAGACCATACCACCACAACAAGATAAAGGTAAACAATCAGGAAAATGGGCACAGGATATGAACAGACACTTCATCAAAGAAGACATTCAGATGGCCAACAAGCACATGAAGAAATGTTCAAAATCCCTAGCTCTAAGAGAGATGCAAATCAAAACAACTATGAGATATCATCTCATCCCAGTAGAATAGCAAAATTTAACAGAACAGCAAGCAACAAATGCTGGCAAGGTTGTGGAGAAACTGGAACCCTTATTCACTGTTGATGGAGTGTAATATGGTGCAACCACTGTGGAAGGCGGTATGGCACTTTCTCAAAAAGTTGCAAACAGAAATATCATTTGACCCAGACATTCCACTACTGGGAATATATCCTAAAGAGACCATAACTGACATCCAAACATGTGTGTGTATGTATGTATGTATGTATATATATATATATATATACACACACACACACACACACACACACACACACACACACACACCCCTATGTTTACTGCGGCTTTGTTCATGATAAGAAGTTGGAAACAACCTAAGTGCCCATCAACAAACGAATGAATAGAGAAGCTATACTATATTGCACTGCATTGAAAAACAAGGAACTCATGCAATATTATTGAAAATGGGTGACCCTGAAAGACATTATGCTGAGTGAAGTATCTCAGTCACAAAAGGACAAATAGTGCATGGTACCACTGTTGTAAAACAGAACTGACATTGGGGTTGGGGGGAGACTGAGAAAGATGGGATAAATAATGTATACTGCATTGAAACAGATGAGGGAGAAAACTGTTTAAAAGGGATATGTGATTAGGTATTCTGTCATGACAGGAGTCCAGAGCGAAGGCTGCATAGTGGAGTGGACCTGGGGCAGGGATTGTAAAACAGTGAAGGAATTTTTCTTTTACTTTTCCAAGAGGGTAGGTGGGGGGGGGGGGTGATGGAAGGGGAGAAAAGTGCAACAATGAATGAATGGAAATCCAAAGTCTCTGTAAATTTTTACTGAAATTAATAGTAAATTTAAATTAAGAAATTAACAAACAAACAAAAAAAGACAATACGGGACAGCAATGAAGACACCACAAAGGAAAACAGCTGCTGAGTCCCAGCCAGTGGTTTGTGCTGGGGTGTTGTGTGTGTGTGTGTGTGTGTGTGTGTGCGCGCGCGCACGCATGCTAAGAGAGGAAGCTCAAGAAGCTTTATCAAGGGGTCTCCTGGGCAGGATTCCTTGGTCTTTGTTTTTTTTTTTAATTGATGTACAGAATAAACTGCCTGCCCTCAGGTCACTTCTGAGGCAGGGACAGGGAGAAGGGCCCCAGGGGTTTCAAAGGCTGCAGACCTTTCCTAAGACAGACTGGCACATCCTTCTCCCAAGGAGCCACTGTGGTTTGGTATCACTGGCCTCAGGAAGGGCAGCGGGGCTGACCCTGGGCCAGCAGCGGTCCTCTGATTTCAGGGGAGGGGGAGGCCCTCTGAGCACTACAGCGCTGGCTGGGGGTTACGGTGAGGCCGCCTGGGTCAGGTCAGAGACAATCCTCCCTCCCTACGGGGCCCGGTCAAGAGATGGCAGTGGTGGTGCTAGAACCCACAGCACACCGCACGGCACCCCCGGGATGTGGAGGCGACACCCCACCTCACTGTCCCGAGGGGCCCCCAACAGGCATGAACCTCTCAGGAGAAACGTTTCAGGAAGAATGGAGGGGGTTTCAGCGGCCTCTTAATAATGTCTTTGCAGCCAACGTATTTAAAATCCTCCTCGAAGCCAAAATGAAAAGGAGAGCAAACAAAACAATGAAGAGGTTGAGGGAGTTCTGTGGAACTGCGTGGGGAGGTTCCGAGGGCTGCGCGGAGGTTCCGTCAGGCTGTGCACTGAGGTTCCGTGGACTGTGCGCGAAGGTACCGTTGGGCTGTGCACGGTGGTTCTGTCTGGCTGTGCACGTGGAGGTTCCGTCAGGCTGGGTGGCTGTGCGTGGGGAGGTTCCATGTTCCATCGGGCTGTGCGTGGAGGTTTCGTAGGGCTGTGCGCGCTGAGGTTCTGTGGGCTGTGCGTGCAGAGGTTCCGTGGGGCTGCGCGGGGAGGTTCCGTGGGCTGTGCGTGCAGAGGTTCCGTGGGGCTGCGCGGGGAGGTTCCGTGGGCTGTGCGTGGGGAGGTTCCATGGGCTGTGTGTGCAGAGGTTCCGAGGGTTGTGTGCGCGGAGGTTCTGTGGGGCTGCACGGCGGTTCCGTCTGGCTGTGCGCGCTGAGGTTCTGTGGGCGCGGAGGTTCCATTGGACTGCGCAGGGAGGTTCTGTGGGCTGTGTGTGGAGGTTCCATCGGGCTGTGCGTGAGGAGGTTCCTTCAGGCTGTGCAGCTGTGCCCGGAGGTTCCACCCCCAGCTGTCGACACCGAACCCCAAGCCGACAGATGTGAAGGAGTAACTGGGAGAGGAGCTCATCGCAGGAGGCCCAGGGCCTCGGTGTCGCTCTCTGGTTGTGTTTCCACAGGGACACTTTAGGGGGGTGGGGACCTTCCGGCTCTGAGGTCACTGCCCCCTGTGACCTGCATCATCCCAGAAAGAAGGGAGGAAATCATGCTGGTCAGCCAAAGAGGAGGCGTGACAGATGCACAGATGTGTACTGTTGGGTTGTGATGGCCTCAGCGTCCACCAGGAGGAGACCTGGCTACATCAGTCACAGCGCAGATGGGCACCACTGCCTGGAAAGGACGCGGATGAACCGACAGAGAGCCCGGGCTCTGCTCTGCCCCCCAGGATCAGGGGAACACAGCAGCTGAAATCACAGCGTCCAGCCGGCACACTGACAGCCCGGAAGCAGGGCAATGAGGGTGCCAGCTTGTAAGAGCTCGAGGCCACAGTCCCCGCCTCCACCCCTGTTGTCGGCTGACCCGCTTCCCAAGGACAGCCGTGCTCTGGGCCTCCAGAGGGACAAGAGGAAACTGGGCTGCTCTTCCGGCAGCAGCCACTAGAAATGGAGCAGCCCCCAGGTCCGCGCCATCCTTGGTGCAAAGCACTGGCGCACTGACCACCTTCTTCAAGGGGCGGGAGGGGACTTGGAAGAGGTCTGTGGAAAGGGATCATCAGATGGGAAACAGGCTGGGGACCAGGATCCTGCCCCTCTCCCACCTCTAGGGCCTCTTCCAGGGAGCCTTCCAGGACTGCACTCTGCCCCTCCCCCATCTCTTGGGCTGCTTCCAGGAAGCCTTCCTGGACTGCATCCTGCCCACACCCTGTCTTTCCCCATCACAGCCAGGTCACAATGGCTTATTTATGTTAATGGAACTTGGACGTGGCCCCAAAGAGCCAGGTAGGTGTACAGCATCAGCATGCTAGGGGCACTGTGAACTCAGTCTCTGTGGTCAGGGTGCCTACCCAGGCCTCATTTTCCTGATCCATAAAACGGACAACACAACAGGGAGGGCAAGTGGGTGGAGAACAGTGCGTGGCATGGAGTGAGTCGGGGGCAGCCCAAAGAGCCCAGGCCAAGCCTCCCTGGCCAGTCTCACTGCAGCCCCAGCTCCTGTTTCTGCAGCACCGCCCCACCATGTCCCAGCTCCCTCTCCCTTCTTTCCTCGAAAACCTTATCACCAGCTGACAGACCCGATGCCTGCACCACCAGGGCCCTGCACCTACAAAGTGCTCGATAATCGTGTGCCCCACTGAGTGGCTCCACCAGACAACAGGTGATAGGGTTCCAGGAGGGGGCCTGACCCACCAACGCCACTGAACTAGACACAGAGGAACCAACAGCTGTGCCCGCCCTGCTCCCCACCCAGTCTGTGCTCCTCCCCATCTTCCCAAACTGGAAGGCCAAGCAGGAAGCCAGGCTGGCTGGGTTCTGGGTCGGCAGATGCGGTGGGCATAGCGTAAACATCTGACCCCTGGACTCCAGGTGCACCCCCCTCACCCTGTCCTCCTTAGTATGATTCTCCCTGAAGGACCCCAAAATCAGCCCCACTGCTCAATGACCTACTTCCTTGACCACCACCAAAGCCCTTGAGAGTAGAACTAGAGTGTATACTGCCTTCCTACCACATGTTATGTGCCATCTAGTCACCTGCAACTCAGTACAGTACAGCAGCTCCAATGCCTGCCATGTCCTGAGCCAGTCTCACTGTCTCCGACACACCTACCCCCATTACTCCTGTACTGTGTCAATCTATCTCATCCAGGGTCTTCCCTACTGCGCCGTCCTTCTGAGCATGATGTCCTCCTCCAAGGACCAATCGCTCCTGCCCATTTGCTCAAAGAATGTGAGACAGAGCTTCAAAATCCTAGCCTCCAAAGAGAAACTTGGTTTCACCTTCTCTGAGACAGACCTATTTGTTTTCTTGGTGGTCCATAGTATGTTCAAGACTCTCTTCCAGCACCACAATTCGAAAGCATCAAGTTATCTTCGGTCATCCTTAGTCGTTGTCTCACTCTCTGACGCACAGGAAGTAACTGCGAAGACCACGGCCGGGATAACGTGCACCTTAGTCTCCAGACTGACATCGTTGCTTCTCAATACTCTGGAATGGTCCCTGACAGCAGATTTACCCAATGCAATTCGTCTTTTGATTTTCTGATTGCTGGTGCTAACAGTGTTGACTGTGGAGCTGAGCGAGCTGTGACTGCTAACAACCTCAGTCTCTTCTCCCTCTGTCATGGTGCTGCCCATCGGCCCCTTGGTGAGAATCTTAGCAGTCCTAGTAACAGCATGATTTAAAAAAGTAGCTCCTCAAGCAACCCCCCCCACCACCGCACTGAACAGCCATGTCCCACCTGAAGGGTGCTCGTGAAATGGCTGTTACCACTTTCCTGGGGTCCAGGAGGCAAGCGTGGACATGGACAGCAGGGCTGTGGCCCCGTGGGCCCGTGGCATGCTCCAGGGACAGCCCTTCCTGCACTAAAGCACATAGATACCCCAAGCGTGCCTCTGCCAGGAAACCACCTTTGAGGAGGTGTCAAGAAGGCGCCAGACACTGCAGTGTGATTCTGGGAAGTGATAGGAAAGAGGGGGAAGTTGGGATGCTCCACCCAGCCTGGCCAGGCTTAGCTGGGCTCTAGGCCTTCCCTCAGTGCCTCGGGCTTCCCAGAAACAAAACAGGACAGCACAGAGCCAATGCTGGGGCCGCTGTAAGAACACCAGCAATTTCCCAGCACTGCCCAACAGTGGAACAGACAGCTGAGGGGAAATGTGGGGGCTGAGCGCTCTGAATGAGGGGCTCTACACTGGACCTCTCACCACTCAGCCAGCCCTTCCCCATGTCACCCCAGCAGAGAGCCAAGGAGTCAGGCTGACAGCAGCAAATAAGGCAGCAGACAGGTCAGGCAGGAACCAACAGCTCAGTCACGTTAAAGAAACCCTGTTGCCATGTTATTCAACAGACTCCGTCCATATATCTATGGGATGTGTAGTTCTGGTTAACTAAAGATTAACCAGCAATATTCTGTAGTTGACCATTATGGAAAATTCCACCTTAATAACTCTGGTAGACCAGAGAGAAATTCATGTTTTTTTGACGTTTGGAAGTATTCAAATGTCTATAGTATGTTACAGTGAATGTAACTGAATATAACCATAGAACTAACACAAAATAGAACTGTTGACAACTAGTGAGGGAGAGGCTCTGATTTTTTTTAAAAAATAAGTATCTATTATCCTTAAAAAAAACACCAAAAAAAAAAAAACAAAACAACAAACCCCACACCAAAAATGACTCTGTCCACAAAGGACTTTTAAGGGCCTTCAAAAGACTAGAAAGGGGGTACCAAAACCTAAAGCCACAGTCATCAAGTCACTTCAGACTCAGTGACCCTCCATCAGGTTGCAAATCTTGACAAGAGGAGACTGCCCATCTTTCTCCTGAAGAGATGATGGTGGATTTGAACCCCTGACCTTCTGTTCTGGTGGGCAGCCTGACTCATTACATAATGCGCCAAGGGGCCACAGTTCTGAACACTTCCCACCATCATGTGGCTTCTAAGACCCCTCTCATTCAAAATTGAGTCTCAAGCAGCTCCCAGATCATGACACATTGTGAGAGGGAAGCTCCCAGTCCCGGGCTGATGTGTGGGCCAGTCCCAGCCCGATCCACACCAGCTCCGAGCCGGGCCCAGCTCACAGCACAAAGTGCTAGATTCAACAGTCACTGTGACACTGTGTGTTCTTCCGGGGATCCCTGCCACAGTGGGGGCCCTGGGAGCTCACTCTGCTCACTGAGCACCTACTGTGTGCGGGGCCTTGCACAAAGGACAAAGGGCAGTGGATGCCTCTGTCCTGCAGTGCTGACCTTCACCTGGGAGGAGAAAGATCATTAAGAAATAAAAGATGATGTCACATGCAGCAGGCAGCCACTGAGGCGTCTGCTGACTGAGAAGGAAGACTTGGGAGGGGTCATCTGGCAGGTCTGGGGGACAGTGGCAGAGAGGCTAGGGTGCTCCAGGAAGAGAAGGCAGGAAATGCCGAGGCCTGGGGGCAGAAGAAATGGGATAGAGGGACAGGAGAAAAAGGGGGCTGAAGGCAGGATGAGAAGGGGGTGAGCATCCTGAGGCCAGCAAGGCCCTAGGGCCTGGAGAAGCAAACTTGTCTTTTCACCTGAACGTGAAGGAAATCTTTAATGAAAGTTCTGGAATCCTATTTCCCTGGAGCACAACACAAGGTCATGGCCTGGTAGGGAGGGCTGGGGATCCTAAACCACCCCCAAACAGACTCCTCCTGTCCCCTACAGCAGGATGGACGACGACCAGGGTTTGACCCCTGACACTTCCCGGTGCCTGTGGTCTTAGGTAATTTTTTTAAAAATTTATTTTATTTCATTATTTTTTGTATGTGTACCGTCAAATCAGATCTGACTGGTACAGGAGGAAATTGTTCCTCCTTCTCCAGCAGAGCATCTGGTGGATTCGAACCGTGTATCTATGAGATTGCAGTTGCAGCTTCTTGCCACTAGGCCACCAGAGCTCGCCAGTCTTAGGTAATTTTTAAACTAAGTCAGTTACAAGTAATAATTCACCAGGTCAGTTTGAACAAGGTGACATTTGGCGTCTTACGGATCAGAGAGCAGAGCAAGGTCCAGTGTCAGGGGTCACATCTTTGGACCCTCTAGGGATAGGTGGTGCCACAGCCACACAGGGGCCACTCGCATGTCCATTTTACAGACAATGAAACTGAGGCAGAGAAGGAAGCCCTTGGCCAGGCCCATGACTAGTGAGGGGCTGTAGCCTGGCTCAAGCCCATGATCTTCAGCCCCAAGAGCAGAGCTCCATCAACTCTAACCTCTGGAGCTCCCAGGCCCAGGGGAGCTGCCCTGACCACTGTGTTTCACGCTGCGCTTACCTTCCCTCCTCTCCTTAGTGGGGCGCCCTATCCACCTCTGGTGCCCTGCCAACCTCACCCTCACTGGCTAGGTGAGTATAAGCACTGTCCTAGGAGCTATAAATACACTGTAACGACGCATGATGGTCACAACTCCCAACAACTTCCAACCACTGCTGTCTTCACTGCCCAGACCGGAGACATGGAAAGGCGGGCTCGTGAGCGGCAGGACCTCTCCGGGCCCAACAGATGGGGACCGGGGTTGGGGTAGAGTGGGATGTTGCCAGGATTTGAACTTGGGACTCCCAGCACAGAGCCTCAAGGGCAGTGGTTTTCCTTGTGTGTGGGGGTGAGCCAGCAGCCTCTGGGAACTCACTCTACTAAATCAAAAGCAGAGACCCGTGTCCTGACAAGCACAACTTAAAGACAGGTCCCACCAACACCTGAAACTGCTTCCACCACTGGCCCTTCCCGGCACAGCTGACTGGACAGAAGAATGCGCAGGAGTCAGCCGTTCGCCTGCCTGTGACGAAGTCCATGGACAGGAAGAGCTGGACCAATCAGCTTCTGCCTCTCATAACAGTTAAGCATGCCAGGGAGAGTCAGGGTCACCTCCATTGGGATGGGGGAGTCGGGGAGAAGGGAGGGGGGAGGGTTGGGGAAGGGAACTGGGAACGAAGGGGAACGGCAGGCCTGGCACAAGTGAGGCTGCGCTGCAGGGGTCAAATCTGCTCACCCCGAGAAAGGTGAAAACACAGCTAAGCTCCAGGTTCCTCGTCTCTCAAGAGGGTTCAGCGGCCTGCCCAGTATGTGTGGCCACGGAGGGCATGTGAACAACGGTGTGCTTAAGCCGGCACACGTGGAGCTGGTGTTCCAAGTCACCATGGAATGAGGCAAGCAGACCCCCAGTGACTCTGGACATGAGAGAGAACTCATTCCCAAGGCTCCCCTCTCCCCAACCAGCTTCTGGCCAAAGACTTTCCAACAAAGCCCCCCTGACTGCAGAGTGCAGAGTGGGCTATAGGCGGGGACACAAAACACGTTGGATCAGACCTGTGTGCAAGAATGGAAAGACCAAAGGCCACAGGCCGTGGACAAAGAGAACAATCGACCCACAATGACTTCTCAAACTATGGCCTTGAGATCATCTTTAAACTTTAAACCAAAACCACTCCCTCTAAATCCATCTTTAGGGAGCTCAGGTGGCTCAGTGTAGGGTGTCACATTGCTAACTCAGAGGCAAGTGGTTCAAATCCACCAGTGGCTCGGTGAGAGAAAAACAGACAATCTTTTCTCATGCTATTCACAGCCTCCCAAGAGCCTGCAGCAGGGTCAGCTATGAGCCATTTCGGACTCAACAGGCAATGAGGTGAGTTTGTTGAAAGTCATCTTTAAATCAGACTTGTTTTTATGTAATTTAAAAAAAAAGCTTCTCTGAGCACTGTGCTCTTTTAAGATCTATCTACCTGCAGATGAGTGGGCCCCACCAACTGCAGGGCTCTGGCAGAGAGCTCAGGGAACAGGGAGTTCAAATGAACAGGGAGGCACCACTCCGAGAAGGAGTGAGAACGGCTCTGCCACGCGGAGAATTTAACCGGCGTCACCGAGCTGGATCTGTAGAGAATGAGTTGGTACACATTCTACAAGAGTGACAAAGAGCAACAGGCCTCTTTTTAGGAAGTCACCAACATCTGCTTAGGAGGCTCTGAGTGTCAATGACAGTGTGACCGTCTGGAGAAGGACAGTGGTGTGGCTGACAACAGGATGGAGTGATCGACATCATGGGATCGTATGGACAGAAGGTGCTGACCTGGCAGACGTTCTGTTCTCTATTGTAAGCGCCAGGACTGGGGAGAGCCAACCAGCTAAGACACCTGGGAACACCGGGGACAGTGACCAGGGCCCAGGCGGAGCGAGCCCTACCCGGGCTACAGTTCTGACTGGCTCTGCAGAAGAGTGTCCTTATTTCATTGACAATAATCTGGAACAAGAGATGCATTGCGGGGTGGGTGGAGGCAAGGAGAAGGAGGAGGGGGGAAATGTACAACAAGAAATGAATTAAAAAGAAAGAAAAAAAACCAAAAAACAGAAAAAGCATGCAGGATAAAAAATAAAAAGAGCGCCCTTATTTTGACAGGAGGTGCACTGGAGTGTTCAGGGCGAGGTGCTATAGTGCTGCTGGTTTTGAAATGGTTCAGACTGAAAAAAAAAACCCAAAAAAGTAGTACTCTGTACAGCACAGAAGCGCATACACCACGTGCACTCAGCCACGGCTCCTCAGTGACTGTCTGCTGGACGACTCTTCACTGCCCAACATTCGCACGTGGGAAACGTGGACTCGGGCTCGAGGTTCCTCTCGGCCCGCCTGGGTCCGTGTTCACATCCCGCCGAAGCCGGCTGCCCCGCCATACCTGTTTTTGAGAAGATGAGCTGTAGAATGAGAGGCCTTCTCGTGACGATGCCTGAGCCTCGAGGAAGGAAGTCCCTGTGAGGGGGGAAAAGGGAGAGAAATTACTCACGAGTCTGGCCTGCAGGGCAGGAAGTATGACTACGCGTGGTGGGGCGACTGTCTTGCAATTTGGGCAATCTCAGCAAAGACACCACCACCCCCAACTGGGGACCGGGGCACATGCTGGCTCAGGAGGGGCAGATCGAGGGCAGTGGCCAAGAGAATTGTGTTTCTTGTTTTCAACAGGCTGGACTCCCTGCTCCAGCACATCCACAGGGCCCATTCCTTCACAAATATTTTTACCATCTCCTACATTAAACAACACAGTCACAAAATGGGCACAGGATAGGAACAGACACTTCCCCAAAGAAGACATTCAGATGGCAAACACACACTTGAAGAAATGTTCAAAATCCCTACCTATCAGAGGGAGGCAAATCAAACAACTATGAGATATCACCTCAGCCCAGCAACAATAGCAGAGTTCAACAGGGCAGCAAACAACAAATGCTAGTGAGGTTGTGGAGAGACTAGAATGCTTAAATTAAATCACTGCTAGGGAGCTCTGGTGGCCGAGTGGCAAGAAGCTGCACTGCAATCCTAGAGGTACATGGTTCGAATCCATCAGACGCTCTGCTGGAAAAGGAGGGACAATCTCCTCCTGTACCAGTCAGATCTGATTTGACGGTACACACATAATAAATACTAAAACTAAAAAAAAAAAAAAAATTAAATCACTGCTGGCGGGAATGTAAAACGGTACAACCACTGTGGAAGTCCGGCATTTGCTCAAAAAGTTGCAAGTAGAAATATTTGATCCAGCAACTCCACTACTGGGAATATACCCTACAGAAACCAGAGCCACGACTCAAACAGATGTAAGCAGATCCATGTGTATAGCCACGTTATTCACAGTAGCAAAACGATGGGAGCAACCCAAGTGCCTATCAACAAATCAATGATAGAAAAACTAGGTATAGTACATTCACACAATGGAATATCACACATCACTGAAAAACAATACACTCATAAAACACAACACAACATGGTGAGGTCTCAAGGACAATATGCTGAGTGAACTATTTCAGACATAAAAAGACAAACACTTAGGTAACACCAGTTATAAAACAGGGCAGACGTGGGGAGGTTGGAGAGAGAATGGGAAAAGAGTGGCTAGATAATGAACACTGTACTAGAACAGAACTGTCCTAAAGGAATATATGGTTACGCATTAGATGTATGACAAGAATCAGAAACAAGGGGTGCACTGCACAGAGGGCTGGAAGAAGAGGAACTGGGGGTGGGAGGGAAATGTGTAATAATAAAAAAAATTTTATGCAGCACTGAAAAACAAAGAACTCCTGAAATATTATACAAAGTGGGTGACCATGGAGGACAATATGCTGAGTGAAACATTTCAGTCACAAAAAGACAAATACTGTATAATGCCATTATTATAAAACAGGACTGATAGGGTGATTGCGGGAAAACTAAGAAAAGAGGGACAGCCTTTTCTTTTTTTTTGGGGACAGCCCTTTCTATGAAGATAGTGCCAAAAATGAAGAAGGAAGCCCCTGCCCCTCCCAAAACTGAAGCCAAAGCAAAGGCGTTAAAGGCCAAGAAGGCGTCCTGAAGGGCATTCACAGCCAAAAAAAAAGAAGATCCGCACCTCATCCACCTTCCAAGGGCCTAAGACGTTGAGACTCTGAAGGCAGCCCAAATACCCCCGGAAGAGCGCCCCCAAGAGAAACAAGCTTGACCACTATGTCATCATCAAGTTCCCCCTGAACACTGAGTCAGCAATGAAGAAGATAGAAGATAACAACACACTTGTGTTCATTGTGGATGTCAAGGCCAACAAACACCAAATTAAACAAGCTACAAAGAAGCTCTCTGACACTGACATGGCCAAAGTCAACACCTTTCTTAGGCCTAATGGAGAGAAGAAGGCCTGTGTTCACCTTATGATGCTTTAGATGTTGCCAACAAAATTGAGATCATCTAAACTGAGTCCAACTGGCTAATTTTTTTTAATTATTACTAAATTTTATTAGTTTTAATGAACATTTACAGAGATTTTGGGTTTTCATTCATTCATTGTTGCACTGCTAATTTTAAACACAAATTTTTCTCACCATAAAAAATAAATAAAAGAGGAGATAAATAACGTACATAGCATTGATACAGATGAGGAAGAGAACTGGATAAAAGGAACATATGATTAGGTATTACAGGCATGAAAAGAGTCCAGAATAAGAGCTGCATAGTAAAGTGGTCTTGGGGTGGGGGGGACTGTATAACAATGAAAAAACTTTTTTTCCAAAGAAAAATGTGAACTGGGGAGGAAGGAGAGCAGGGAGGAAAATGCGCAACAATGAATGAATGGAAATCCAAGTTCTTTATAACCTTAAAATCTCAATTACAAAAATTTTTTAAAAAGAAAGATCAATATACTTCCTATCTACCTTTTTTTTTTTTGGTGAGAAAAATTTATTACATTTAGAATTAGCCTGCTGGACTCAGTTTAGATGATCCCAATTTTGCTGGCAACATCCAAAGCACCATAATCAGGAGCAAGTCGAACATAGGCCTTCTTCTCTCCATCAGGCCTAATCAAAGTGTTGATCTTAGCCACATCAGTATCACAGAGCTTCTTTACAGCTTGTTTAATTTGGTGCTTATTGGCCTTGACATCCACAATGAACACAAGTGTGTTGTTATCTTCTATCTTCTTCATAGCT